ATCCATCCATCCATCCATCCATCCATCCATCCATCCATCCGTTATTTTCCTGGTTTCTTTGCTAGTTTTTAAAACTCTGATTTTTTTGTCTTGTTTCATATCTTCAGTTAAAAAAAGAAAAGAAAAAAAAAGACTTAAGGGCAGTTATTTCAGCCTTCCAGTTACATAGTTAAGCCCCACAACATATCCACTAGGGCTGGGGTATACAATTTGAGGTCCCAGGGTGGCATGCAATCACTCAAAATATTGGGCACAAGCTCCAAAAACCCCCAAAATGATTACCATTGAATTATTTAATATGACAGAAGGGGAAAACTATTCAATACACAAAGAGTAATCAGATTATATTAACTTCAATTAAATTGAATACTAAATTAAATCTAGTGTACAATAGTTTTTGCCCTGGCCCCATCCAGTTGTTGGAATGCAGCTCCCACCTTGGTACATATGGCCCTCAACCTGAAAAAAGTTGTGTTATCCCTGAGGAGATAGATCCACACCTCAGTAAAATATAAGTGAAAAGAAGTAATGATATGACTTCAGATGTTCACATTTTCCCATCCCACAAATGGAACAGTGAAAAGAAATTACCTATTTACATGTTGAGTAACATGCTGAGCAAAGGCATCTACACCTTGCATTTGATCTGAAGTCTGGACTGGCGTCAAGTGGCGATTGGAATGCCCATTGGGTGATGACAGCCTCTGAGAGGAGGAGGAGGAGACAGAACATTATTAATAAAAGAAATGCACATGCCCCAAAGAAAGTTCCTCATATTTATCATTCAAAATCATAATATGAAATGTGGTACTTTCACTAATATCCCTTTCCAGGGGATCATATATGCATATATAAATAAAAGAGCATCTGTAACAGGGCAAAGCTGCCTGGCTACCCAACTATCATATCTATTGTATTAAAAATCTCATTAAGTGGTTTGAAATTATGTTATCAGTTTGCAACTAGCTAGACCCTCTGAAGTTTCTAACCATGGGTTTAGGCTTCAGTATTGGCTACAAAGGGGAGAGGAGGTGGTAGGTTCTGAGAACTGCCTATGGACAGGCATCAGGCAAAATGAGGAAGAGAGAGGAAGAGAGAAATAGTTCTGGAGCAACTAAAATCTCTCTCCCTGACCCATTCTAAACATAAAAAAAGAAATATCAGTACCCCTCCCTCTAACTATGAGGCAGTCTGTCAAAAACAAGATTGATTTTTTACACACTGGCTAGTCCTCTAATGAACAGAAGGGGGAAACAGAAAGAACCCTTACTAATTTCATCCCAGTTCCTTGCTTGGGCTGCTATGCTCTTGGGAACTATTGCATAGGTCTGCAGAGTCAAAACAATGCAAATCAATCTCCACTGCATTTTAAAGTGGAACGAGCAGGGTAGCTCGTCATATGCAAAAATATCTAAGTGGTTATTGTGAAGAGAATTAGCTATCTTTCCCTTTTAGGGGTGGGAGAACAGAATGCTACATTAGCTGAAGCCCAGGTATTGGGAGGTGAATTGAGGCAAGAGTTCCAATCAGTGGGAAAGCAGAAAGAGATCGTCATATGCAAAAATATCTAAGTGGTTATTGTGAAGAGAATTAGCTATCTTTCCCTTTTAGGGGTGGGAGAACAGAATGCTACATTAGCTGAAGCCCAGGTATTGGGAGGTGAATTGAGGCAAGAGTTCCAATCAGTGGGAAAGCAGAAAGAGATCGTCATATGCAAAAATATCTAAGTGGTTATTGTGAAGAGAATTAGCTATCTTTCCCTTTTAGGGGTGGGAGAACAGAATGCTACATTAGCTGAAGCCCAGGTATTGGGAGGTGAATTGAGGC